GAGGTGAGCATCAGGAATGATGTTGGAATTGGCTGTAACAACATGGCCGTCGACTAAGTGTGAGCAATCAGGAAACACTTTCCGACATTGACAGTCTTAGGGGTCAGGTAGAGAGATCCCAGGTGTCACGCTGAGAGCAACTTCCGTGAAATTAGAGAATTGGACGCGAGTTGGCGGCAACGACTTATCACAGATACGCAGGTGTGCTGCGGCATCAGGGTCAGGGTGCAAGTGGAGCACCTGGGGTGCATGCAGGGCTTGTCGCAGCCCCGTTACCTGAGACACCTCGTGCATGTGCACAACTTTAATATGATCAAGGAAGGCATCTCGAGACTGGGTTGTGTATCGTTGGCGGACATGTTGATACTTCCGAAATTGGCATTCAAGCTGCCGGATATGCGCAGTCATATCTGCATTGGAGATATTATTGCTCAACCATTGCAGCAAGCGGGCACGCCAAACGGACGTTGCTTGTTGGATGACAGATTCCATCTGTTGCGAATTGCCAGCAGCATCCTGTGAGAGAAGATTGTGCAATCCAGACCGGACTTGAAAGTCGGGGCCTGGACGCAAATCAATGGGCTGGGGCTGTTGATGGTCTGACGGACGAGGGCCTGTCTGTGTCCATCGTTGAGAAAGACGCCGTCGTCTTCTTGCAGGCAGGCGAGCAAGCGGCAGGACAGGGTCGAGACCAGCTGGATGAAGAGTTCGCAACCGGCGTACCCAATAATAGGCTTCCCGTGTCGCAGCTGCCCGTCGAAAAAGGTTACGGTCAACAAGACCCTACGGTGTATGGTAAAGGGTCGGGTCAATACATTCCAAGGGCCAGACTGCAAAATTTAATGTGTGAGGTCTACACGAAAGAGTACGATACAAAGAGGTGAGATGGGCATAGGGGCTGCCACCCGAGTTTGGCTAACCTTAGGTGGGCCGTAACTATACCCACTACACGGGAAAAGGGTTACAGCTTGTGTCCTTGCGGTGATCGCCACCACATTCGTTATGTGCACAATACCTTATACAAAAACAAAACCGTAGCACCAAGCAACGTACCAGATCAAACACCTAACAGGGCTAATATTGTCCAAGCATAAAGAAAATAATGACAAAGTAGCAGGTCATCAGAGAGCCCGCCGAATGAAATACAGCCCCTGAATGGATTCAGGAAGCAATGAGAGAACAGGGGGCAAAATGCAGAACGCAGATTGACAATACGCAATCTATACATCAATGAAAGACATCAATTGAAGGTTCAATTGAAGAATCGCCTGGTTGTACAGGCCCGACGCTGGCCGTTCGATCTGCAAACGCAGAGAGCTAGCAACGTCGGCATATATATTGTYACAGAACTATTCACTAAGACCGCAAGCACGTGAAGTAGAAGGAGAAATAAGATGAGCGAAGAAAAGAAAAATGAAAGTATAGACAGGCAAAGAGACAGACAAACCAGAATGACACAATGTCCTCTTATTCTTCGTTTCACTGTATCTTGAAGAAAGGATAAAAATCAAAAACAAAAGCATATATATATACTGGCGGCTGCCCCCATGCCCACTCACCCCTTGTTCCATGTTCTTTGAGATAATCCTTCTACGTTGGTTTATGCACGTGTCAACTGCTTGGTGACATCTTTTCATGTAGGCAATGTTGGTCTATCGGTGCAAGGCTCCTGGCATTGCTGCTGTGAGCACACTCATTGGGAGATGTAGTTTCGCATTCAAACCGAGCGCCCTCTTTGACAATGCTGTTGGCGGTGAACAACGGACAAAAAGGACGACGGCAGGATCCCGGCCTGAGCCATCGGACCTAAAGTCCTTTCACCTTGTGCACTCACCTCCATTTCTTTGCATTGGAAAATTGAAAAATTGAAAAATAATTGTTTCATAACCCATCAACAATGAATCTACAACCAAGGAATAATCAAGGGGCTACCCCGATACTTCCCACCCGGGAGATTTCCTGCCACTGGCATGACATGTGCTATACCGAGCTTTTCTCTTGGACACTCTGTTCCCTTTGCTCATGCTCACTTGTCAAATCGCCAGGCATCTGTCTCTCATCGTGTAGATTGGCGTGCACACATGGAGTGGAATACTAACTTGTATTCTGCAGTAGGTTGGCGCAAGAAACAACTCTAACAGTGTTGTGCAAGCAGAGCGATTTGAGTTGCAACTGCGAGGTGTTGATCAACAACCCCTTGAACCAGGTATGGACCCCCTCACTGTTCTAGGAGTGATTTTAGCAATTGTTCATTTGCCTTTAGGACGTTTTTATGTTGGACAGACGATGCATTTTGCACATCAACGACTATAAGAGCATTGGCATACATGGCGCTCTTCTGCTGCTTTTCACCACCGCCATCTCTACCGTGCAATGTGTGGGCAACCAACATTCAACTTTGCTGCTTGGCCTTTGGAATGCATCGATCCTACCCTTTATAGTAAGTCTGAAGGTCTTGTTGATCATGCCCTCTTTCGGCGGGCTGCTGCACCCCGCGAGGGTTTTTGGGTTCGTAAACTTCGAACTCTTCCCCCGGTGGCTAGACTGCTGTCTCCACGACGACACTTCCGCCCTCATCGTTGGACACAAATGGGCCCTCGTCCCTTTGCTCCTCAGCCCTCTCTACCTCCTCATGCCTCCACTCCTCATGTTTCCCTCCCTACCACATCTATTGCTGCTCCATCCGTTCCTGCACCGGCTGATCCTTCTCACATAGCACCCCTTTTACCAACACCCGTTGGCTCTTATGCTGCACCCCTTTTATCTACACCTGCTCACTGTTTACCTGTCTTGCCAACACCCCCTCACTGTTTACCTCTCTTGCCAACACCCCCTCACTGTTTACCTCTCTTGCCAAGACCTTTGGTTAGGTCCTTTGCTGTTGATCTTCGTCCGGGTCCCCAACTTATGATTCATACCCCACTGCATCGTCTTCTCACTGAAGCTGCTTCGGGTAATTGGTGCCGTGTCAAGGTTGATATTGAGCAAGCAGCACCCGCATGGCGGGTACGACTTTTGCAATGGCTTTACAATAATGTCTCCAATGCAGACATGACAATAGACATTCGAGGACTCGAATGGCTCATCCAAAAATCGCAGCATACCCGCCAACGTTATACAACACAACCTCGTGCCCCATTTACTGACCACATCAAGGTCGTACATGCGCAGGAGGTAGCTCGTGCAACAAACTTGCGCCATATGTTACAATTGCTGGATGTAATTGCATTGCACCCCGATTTTCAAGCAGCCACACATGTTCGTGTATGTGACAAACTGTTGCCACCCACGCGTGTCCAATTTTGGAACTTCACTGATGTGGCCTTGAGTGTTACTCCTGGCATGACCTTACCCTGACTCTGATTGCGAATGCCGTAGAGCCTTTCCACATTGTTCTGATCTTGTGGATGGCCATATTGTGTCTGTTGACTAGAATATCATCCTTGATAATAGCCTTCACAAGCTTTTTGAAGAAGGCTCGAAGTATCGGCTGAATGGGGAAACTGCCGATGTGCTCCAGGCACTGAAAATTGGACTGGATGAGTACATTTCCAATTACAGAAGGTTGTTGGCCGAACATTCTCGATCTGCTTATTTCTCGTCTCTTTCTTAGAAGCTGAACAACTGGCGTTCTGCAATCCTTGCGCATTGTCAATCCAATGCATCTTCATTTTCCAATCATGTGAGCCAGCCACGTTCACTACGTTCTATACATGCCTCCTTGCACCATCTTCAACAACACTTTTGCCATTGTCCTTATGGACAAAACATCACACAATTTGGCAATTTGCTGCAAGAATTGGTATATGTTTCATCTCCCTACCCATTTGGACAGTCCCACTTATACTCGTCCTCGAGAGTCCGTTGCTGATGTCCTTGACCACCATGCACTGTGGAATCACCATTGGAGTTACACCCACACTGATACCGTACCTTACCTTAACTATGTACTCAAAGCTCACAAGTCTCCTCCAACTCTTTTGAACTCTTGGAGTCACAACACAAAATAACAGTGTTGCTCCCCCGCGTGCTCGCCGTCGTCCAACAATTCACACCATTCATGAACAGCCTCCTCACAAACCCTTGGCAAGCACAACGACTACTTCGTCGTATCTCAGCGGTGCTTTGCAAGGAGTGATCTCTACTCGTCGTGAGAACGACACTGAGCTCTATCAACAGGTTGGTGTTCGACGGTGCTGGATCGTCAGAGTGCCGATGAAGTGGCGATTGACCTGGAAAACAAAGCATTGTCTCTTCGTGGCCACTCTCCTTGCACTGTTGATTTTACCACAATGTACACCAACCTTCCTCATGACCGCATTCTGAATAATGTGGTAAAAGTTGTTGATGAAGCTCGTGCTTATGCCCATCGGCAAGCTCGCACGCATTCACGTTGCATTGCCCTCAACATGGTTATTCGAGGACCTCGTTGTGGCCAATGGACAATTGATTCAGGCCCGAATACCCTTTCTGTTTTTCAAATTCTCCTCCATCTTCGCTTTGTTGTACAAAACACTTTTCTATACACGAGAGATGGCACGCTTCGGAAACAAATTATCGGTATTACAATGGGAACGAATGCTGACCCATAAATTTCTAATATGACGCTGTATTGGGATGAAGCACACTTTGTTGATGACATTCGTTAACATGATCTTCAAGCTGCTCAACAATATGCCTTCACCTATCGCCTCATTGATGATGTTATTTCATGGGGACAATTACCTCCTCCACCAGAGCACTATGGGCTTAAGTGGAAGGAGACTACAACTACAGATGACTCCTGTACCCTTTTTAGGCATGCATCTATGGGTTCGTTTTCGCTTCGCATGAGCGTCTTTGATAAAGCGGCTGCTTGGGACTTTCCTGTCATTCGTTATCCAAGTGCGACCTCCAACATCCCGTCCCATCAACCGGCTGGTGTGTTCACTTGGCAATTGACCAGATTTGAACAAATCTGTAACAATTGGCAGAACTTTCAAACTGCGGCAACAACACTTACTCGTCGTATGCTTTCGCGTGGGCATTCTCCACCAACCCTTGCTAAGGGGTGGACCTGCTACATGCACTCCCGCCAACGTTGCTATCCTACGCATGTGACGTGTCTCTCTCAGTGGTTTCGACGCGTGCTACGATGGTCCTTGTATCATCCAATTTCTTCTTTGCCCCCACGATGCTCTCGTCCTGCCCCTGCTTGCTCATCTGCCGCTACCGCAGTTTCCACTATTGCGGTTACCACTGCTGCAGTGTCCACTGCTGCTGTTTCCACTGCTCCATTTTCCACTGTTGCAGTGTCCATTGTTGCGGTTTCCACTGCTGCTGTGTCCACTGCTGCAGTTTCCATTGCTCGGGTTTCCACTGCTCCAGTCTCCGCTGCTGCAGTTTCTACTGCTGCGGTTTCCATTGCTGCAGTTTTCAGTACAACAGTTTCCCTAAGTGTAATTCCCCTTACTTTAGTTTTTACTGCTACAGCTTCCTGTCCTGCAGCTCCAATGCAAAGAACATCACAATCTCTTCGAGGCTCACTTCCTTTGCTCCGAAATTTTGCCCAATGCACCCCCCTCTCATCTTTGTCTGTGCTTGGCCGTAAACGACTACGTTCCTCCTCACCACCCCCATCTCCTCCACGGTTTCGCTTGCGAACAGACTCTCCGGTTTCCATTGTTCCCATTGTTCCACCTGTGTTGCTAGGTACAAGTTCAGCTTCTGTTTGCAACACCACTACTCCTCTTGTTGTGTGTCATCGACGACATCCGCGACACTGTCACTTGTCCGGCGATCAGAAACCTGTTTCTTTGTCTGCCCCGATTCTCTCTGTGCGTCCTCCACAGGTTGTTGCGGTTCCTTTGTTTCAAACGACAATATCCACTCCTATGCCTCCTGCAGACTGTCCAGCTGCCTGCAGGCAGCCACCTGTCCCTACTCAGGATGCAGCCGCTGCCCAAGGTACACTCCTGACTCCAGGTACAGTCCCTACTCAAGATGCAGCCCTAAACATTGAGGGATTGGAACATGATCTGCCTGGATTGCAGTTGACCCCACAAGGCGTAGACCACATGGGGGATCTGCAAATGGTTGACCAGCATTATTCGGATGAACCACAATTTTGTGCTCCGCCACGCGCAGACCACATGGGTGATTTGCAAATGACTGACCAACAAACAACCCAACACAGTTTGGGCTTGCAACACCATCTGCGTGATCTGCAAATTGTTGGCCAGCATCCAACAAACCAGCCTGAGAACCTCACCAATCTCTGTGGTATGACAACAACTAATATCTGTCTTCACATTCTCCACTGCCCGTTTTATACATGATCAGACTTCCTTGCAATCGCCCTTCAGCTTGATGCTGATCTTCCCCAACTACAACCAGAGGATTGTAATTATACCAGCGAAGGAGGCTTTACCATTGCCGTCGTGCAAGTAGCAACGAGGGACCGTCAACTTGAATTACGCAATGCTTGAGCAGGTGAGTGGTTTAACCCACATCACTGCCTGCATTGTGCACAGCCCTGGCCATTACATGGCCATTGTACATGCCTCTGACCACTGGGAGCTGTGGGACAACGGCACCATGGTCCATGCCATGATTGATGTCACTGATTTCTTACAAAATGATGCTGTTTTCTTGCCACAACAAACTGTCTGCAATCTCTTTTATGTCGAAGATCATTCCTCTGGCCCCATGCTGCAGCAAGACAATGTACCAACACTCTGCGACCTTCTCCTTTGCACAGCCACAAACACTGCTACACTCGGCTGTAGCCGCCATCGTCTCTGTCACAATCACTACAGTGAGATGGTTTCTGCATCCATGTGTGCAGAGGACTGTCCCACCGTTCCTAACTGTAGGCACCCTCCGCATCCGAACACTTATTTCCATTTTGCGGTTGTGGGCGCTATACTGAATGCATGCTCTTTTGTGGTGACAGTTCTTCTTTCATTTTGGCCTGCAATCGACATGCCATTTGTCGGGGGTGTATGGTGGGCATGCTCAATGCCAACCGTTGTGGCAATTGTTGCACTGAGAATGCTCAGCTAGGTCTTCCATGTGTTCATCCACTTCATCCTTACAATGTATGTACTCTCTGTCGTCAAGGACAGACTCATTCTTGAGCTTTTTCTTATCCTCTTTTGCCTTCATCTTCACTCCACACTCCATACTTTCCCTTACTTTCTCTTTATCGTTCTTCGTTTGTCTGCTCTCCATCTCTCCTCCCTGTGTTTATCCCCTCCCCCTTCACTTTGCCTCCTTCTCACAGCGTTCAAGTGGGCTGTTATGGCACACGGGGATGGGGGCAGCTCGTGCTCAACTTCATCAACGTGGCGAGCCTTGTACGTGAGAGGCACGGTGAAAGGGGAGTCAAAAGAAGAATGAGAAAAATGAATGGTTTCATTGAGCCCTTCATGTTTGTCTTGTTTTTTTTAAATGTTTATTTTTGTCGTTTGTTTCGCAAATTGCGCTCTTTTAGTTCATAGTTATGTGACAATATATATAGATATATATATTGTCACAGAACTATTGACTAAGAGCATGAGCATGTGAAGTAGAAGAAGAAATAAGATGAGCAAAGAAAAGAAAAATGAAAGGAAAGACAGGCAAAGAGACAGACAAACCAGAATGACACTTTGTTTCACAGTATTATTATTTCTTTCAGTCTTTTACAAAAATTATTTACACTGAATCAAAGGATCAAAAACAAAGACACATTGAAATCATTCAGTTTCTCAGTCTTCTTAACGCCTCCTCCACTGTGCCTCTAA